AAACTCCAACCATTTTTCTTTTTATTAAAATGCTGACTTTGTGCTCTATTATCGCATAGTATTTATGGCTGTATTCTCGTTTTCCTGTCGCATTTGATAGAATGGAAAATATATTATAGAAATAGAGGTGATCTTGATTGTTTTTTTCTATGAAAAGAACCTTGAAATGGAGCTCAAAATAGGGGAAATGTTTGATTTTTGCTGATGTTCAAAAGCAACCAAATGATGTCATTTTCCAATAAATGTCGAAGTAGCCATTCTAAAATGCAGTCATGAATGGGTGTACATAATTTATACAATTATTAAAATATTGCAGTAGTCTGCATAACAGTAAATCTTCTTCAAAATAGAAAGCAAGAGTAATATCATAAGGGCCTGGAGACATGACTGATGAACAAAGAAAATGTTATTTTAGAGCCAGGAATGTCTGCATTTTTCATTCTGGACCCTATTTTGAAATTGTCATATTTTTTAATTTTCATGAAATTGGTCAAATTGCAAATTTCTGAGCGCTTTATTGGGTAGCTGAAATCGGTAAATGGGCAGTTTCTTGTACTCAGTCGATAGAAAAAATGGAGTTCTAAAGAAATAGCTATGAGTTTGGTCAACTGAAACAATGGAATTAGCCGAAAATAGTGCTCAAAGTGGGCGAAATCGCCAATTCGTAAATATTGCCAAGGTCGCTAACTTCGCGAGAGCGTAATTCTGTCAGTTTTCCATCAAATTTCATTCCTTTGGTGTCATTACAATCGGGAAAAGATTCTCTTATCATTTCATAAGATTTTTTTTTTTTTTTTTCCCAGAAATTTTGCGACACAAGGGGACACCTCAGGATTTGGGGTTGCGACAGTCAGGGGGTTGACTCCACATCTTCTAATTTCCACACTCCGAATTTTCTGCTTAACCCTTTCAGGGTCCGTCCCGTAGATCTACGGCTTTATGGTGAGTGTCCAAACCGTAGATCTACGCCATGAGCTCAGCTCACTCTGATAAACTGTGAGTGGTACATTTGGGCCTAGATATGAGAGAATACATCTATGTGGTATGTGTGCACCACATAAAACAGATCCTGCAGCACACTGTGTATAATGAGAGAAAAAAACTGAAATCATGATTTTTTGATTAAAACAGCAACTTTGCAGTGTTTTTTCGTATGTTTTTTATAGTTGTATTTGCGATTTCTTGGTCTCATTTGATAGAATGGAAGACATATTACAGAAATAGAGATGATTTTGATTGGTTTTAGCACTGGAAATGGCTTGAAACTGAGCTCAAAGTAGCGGAAATGTTAGATTTTTGCCGATATTCAAGAGTAAACAAACGACCTCACACGTCTAATACACGTCAGCTGGTGGGTCTAATATACATTCACAAATATGGTGATGATATTTATACAATTATTACAGTATTGCATAGCAGTAAATCTTCTATTTTTTGGTGTGAATAAAAATTCATTATGTGAATAAAAAATCAAAATGGAATTTATTTGTAAAGCCTCAAAACATGACTAATGAACAGAGGAAATGTTAGTTTAGTGCCAGGAATGCCTACATTGTTTATTCTGGACCCTATTTTGAAATTGGAATATTTTGAACTTTGTGTTAAATTGGCCAAATTAACAATTTCCGATCACTTTATTTTGTAGTTGAAACAGTTGACTTGGCGATTTCTTGTGCTCAATCGATAGAATAGAAGTAATACTAGTGAAATAGCTAAGAATTTGGTTGATTGGAATAATGTAATTGGCCTAAAATGGGAGTCAAAGTCGGCAAAATCGCCGATTCGTAAATATCGCTGACACATCAAAATTCGCGAGAGTACAATTTCGTCAATTTTCCACCAAATTTCGTACTTTTTGTTTTATTACCTTCACAAAAAGATTCTCTACGATTTCATAAGAAAAAATAACAAATTTTTTTTTTTAAAATTCTTGGACACTGGTGCGTGACTCCAGATTTGGGCCTTGGACCCTGAAAGGGTTAATATTGTGAAACAAATTATTTGGCGATGCTGAAAGCGGGGCGGGGTTCAATTATAAACGTTTTTGGAGGCTTCTTTACTTTATTTGCAAAATTGTGGTGGGTACACAGGCTTGTGTGTTGTGGCCATGGCCCGGGAGGGCCATGCCCACGATGGAGAGAGGGAGTAGACATGTTGTCTGCTTCTACGCCGCTGAGTGAGTGAGTGGGACCAGCGTCCCACTGACTTGGGCAGGCCTGGAGAGGGCAGCACCTTAGTGCTGCGAAATATGAACTAAGCTGGCAGACAGCATAGGCTGTCTACAGTATTGACACCACACATTGCCCTTAGACAGGACATCTCCACTGCCTCCAAACATCTTGTTGCAGCATTTACAACCCAAGCTTCACACCCATATAACAGTGTTGATACCACTATACTTTCATACATTCCCTTCTTTGCCTCCATAGATCACTTTTTTTGTCTCCATACATACCTCAATGCACCACTCACCTTTTTTTCTTCATCAGTTCTGTGATTAATCTCATCCTTCATAAATCCATCCGCTGACACATCAACTCCCAAATATCTGAAAACATTCACTTCTTCCATACTCCTCTCTAATTTGATATCCAATTTTTCTTTATCTAAATCATTTGATACCCTCATCACCTTATTCTTTTTCTATGTTCACTTTCAACTTTCTACCTTTACACACACACACACCCAAACTCGTCCACTGACCTTTGCAATTTTTTTTTAGAATCTCTCATAGGCACAGTATCATCAACAAAAAGTAACTGTGTCAATTCCCATTTTGTATTTGATTCCCCATAATTTAATCCCGCCCCTCTCCTGAGCACCCTAACATTTACTTCTTTTACAACCCCATCTATAAATATATTAAACAACCATGGTGACATTACACATTCCTGTTTAAGACCCTTCTTTTACTGGGAAGTAGTCTCCCTCTCTTGCAACATCTGCCGCATTGCTCCCCTATCCACTGTATCATATGCCTTTTCTAAATCCATAAATGCAGTGAAAACTTCCCTAACTTTATCTAAATACTGTTCACATATATGCTTCAATGTAAACATTTGATCTACACATCCCCTACCCACTCTAAAACCTCCTTGCTCATCCACAATTCTACATTCTGTCTTACCTCTAATTCTTTCAATAATAACCCCACCGTACACTTTTCCTGGTATACTCAGTAAACTAATTCCTCTGTAATTTTTACAGTCTCTTTTGCCCCCCTTCCCTTTATATAAAGGAACTATACATGCTCTCTGCCAATCCCTAGGTACCTTCCCCTCTTTCATACATTTATTAAACAAAAATACCAACCACTCTATCACTATATTTCCCCCTGCAAATTACCTAGGATAACCCAAAAAATCTAAAGTACTATACACTGTACTGTGCTTGTAGATATAAGGCATAATAAGCATGACTGGCAAGTACGTAATATGCATTTTCACTTGTTCAGGAATCAGACGTGATGACTCTGCATCTTGTGTAATATCTGTTGGTTCATGAGTGGCTCTCTCTCTTGAGACAGAAAGAGAGACAAGCAGGCAGAGAGACAGGAAGACAGACACACAGGGAGACAGAAAGACAGATAAGCAGAGACAGAGTTAAACAGAGGCAGAGCTAGACAGACAGATATATGGGCAGACAAACAGATTGACAGACATGTTTATGTGTAACAGTGAAAACAAATAAAGCCAAGGTAGTGCACGATCATCAAATGTCACTCCACTGCTCTACTGTCAGCAGTGGAGTGACACTCGTCTTACACTGTGCCTCGAAAAGGTTCGAGGGAGGAGGTAAAGGAGGTTTTGTGGGCGAGGGGTTTGGACTTCCATCAAGCATGCGTGAGCGTGTTAGATAGGAGTGAATGGAGACGAATGATATTTAGGACATGACGAGCTGTTGGAGTGTGAGCAGGGTAATATTTAGTCGAGGGTTTCAGGAAACCGGTTATTTTTATATAGCTGGACTTGAATCCTGGAAATGGGAAGTACAGTGCCTGCACTTTAAAGGAGGTTTGGGATATTGGCTGTTTGGAAGGATATGTTGTGTATCTTTATACGCATTTGCTTTTAAACTGCTGAATTTTGATCACCTCTGCAAAAACAGTGATTATGTGTGAGTGAGGTGAAAGTGTTGAATGATGATGAAAGTATTTTCTTTATGGGATTTTCTTTCTTTTTTGGGTCACCCTGCCTTGGTGGGAGATGGCCGACTTGTAAAAAAAAAAAAAATAGACGGCTTCAAAAGGCAGTGAATACCACAAAAATGCGGGAGCAGTTATGGCCGCTTCCACCTGTCACATAATGACATATTTTGTTTATTCTAGACTTTATAGCAGGTTTCTATGTTATTTATATTGTTTATTATATCATGTTAGATGAATTTTGATAGATAAATAAGCCATAGAGTTCATATTTGCAAAATATTGAAGTATTTTGTTGTGCCTCCTGAGAGCTGGAACAGATTAATTTTATTTCAATTGTAATTTAAATGAGGAAAATTAACTCAGCATACGAGCAAATTGGAATACGAGCAAATCGGAATACGAGCATGGTCACGGAACAGATTAAACTCGTAAGTAGAGGTTCCACTGTATTGCCTTGCTCGTCGGAGAGCATTCAACTTTCAGATGCCTTCTTCACTGCCATGACATGCTTGTTTTGTTTATGCTCCTCTCTGAGTTCCACTTATGGTGTAATGTAAACTTTTTCTATGCTTATTTATCTGTCTGATTTACTACATCAACTGTGATCTCCCATTTTTAATATTCGTGGTTTTTCCCTTGATTTCTCCACTTCCAAAGAAGTCTTAATACCAGTGAAATAGAGATCTTCAGCCAAGTCACATCTCCTACATGGAACATCACAGCCCAACACAGAAATACTATTTTAAAGATTGTTTAACAAAATTCTTTGAGATGTACTGTAATAGGAGACTTAGGATCTTCCACTTGGTATCCCTAATGCAGTCAGTCCCTAATATGTTAATGCATTTTTCAGGATTTGATGCTTTAGAATATGAGGAGGAAACTGATTATGAGATCATCCAGTCAACTAATGTGGACTTTCATGAAGCAGTGGTTCGTGTCAACATCTTCAGAGAGTATCGACAAACCATACAGGTGAGCAAATGATGTGCAAATGATGTACACCTAGATGTGCAACATCTAGGTGTACAGTGTACAGTAGGGCCCCACTTATAAGGCAGGTAAGGTTCCAGGCTACCGCCGTAAAGCGGAAATCGCCGTAAAGTGGAACACCCTTTTTTCCACTTATAAATACATATGAATACTAGATAACATATATTAAGTTAGCTATAGAACTAGGCATTAAAAACAGTTAAAAGTAAAATACACATATAGTACACTCATTACTTAGCTTAAAATATTTGCAGTCTTAATCTAGGGTAAGATGAGTAGTATTTATTGTAAGAAATCAAGTGTGTTATGCATGGTAGCCAGCCAGGCTTCCATACCAGGCCACCCCACCCATATATAATAGCCTATGACATTTAGGCATCCCAGAGCTATTACTTACCTTAAAATATTTGTAGTCTTAATGTAGGGTCAGAGGTGAGTAAATGAGATAAATGAATAAATTCAGGGGAGAGAGAGAGAGAGAGAGAGGGGGATGGAGAGAGAGAGAGGAGAGAGGGGAGAGAGAGAGAGGAGAGAGAGGAGGGGAGAGGGGAGAGGGAGAGAGAGGGGAGAGAGGGAGAGAGAGAGAGGGAGAGAAAAGGAGGGGAGAGAGAAAGAGGGGGAAAAGAGAGAGAGGGAGAGAGAGAGAGGGGAGAGAGAGAGAGGGAGAGAGAGAGAGGGGGAGAGAGAGAGAGGGGAGAGAGAGAGAGAGAGGGGGGAGGGAGAGAGAGAGAGGAGAGAGAGAGAGGGAGAGAGAGAGGGGGAGAGAGGGGGGGAGGAGAGTGAGAGGGGGGGGAGGAGAGAGAGAGAGAGAGAAGAGAGAGGGGAGAGGGAGAGAGAGAGGGTAAGAGGGGAGAGAGAGAGGGTAAGAGAGGGAGAGAGAGAGGGTAAGAGAGGGAGAGAGAGAGAGAGGGAATGCTCTTCTCCAAGGGGATGTTGACAACCAAGTGAAAGCCTTCACTGGACACATTCTTAATCTACAACAAGAACACATTCCTCACCGGCAATGTGACGAAGCCTACAGATCAGCCTTGGTCTGGCTTTCGTTGTAGTGTTAAACAGTTTGTTTGGTGTTCTGGTAGCGGGGTGTAAATGATACGTCTTCGGAGGCTTCTTACTTTATTGTTAAGTCGTGGTGGGTACACAGGCTTGTGTGTTGTGCCCATGGCCCGGGAGGGCCATCCCACGAGAGAGCTACTAGTAGGACTTGTGTCTTCCTGCTAGGCCGCTGTGTGAGTGAGAGAGTGTGGGACCAGCTTCCCACAGACTTGGACAGGCCCAGAGGGCAGCACTTTAGTGGCGCGAAATATGAACTAAGCTGGCAGACAGCATGGGCTGTCTGTGCAGACAGTACAGGCTGTTACAGTGGGAGAGACTGCTACTGCTAAGTACAAGCATGGCGAAGGTATAAGGGGACATCTACCACCTATAACAGGAACTTGCACAGGCAAGCCTGTAGGTATATGGGTGACGTTCAAAAGTGGGCCATTGCTAAATGGGAGGTGGACACTAAAAGAAAGCTAGCATCAGGTAGGGTAGGCTCCAAAAACCTGGTGGTCCCTGGTCAAGGACAGACAAGGTTATCTGCATGATGAACTCATTCCACCTCTAAATCGACTGGATGGGACCACCTCTACTAGTAGTCAAGAGAAGGCGGACCTCTTTGCTGAACACTTTGCTACCAAAATGCAAGTTCCTGATCCAACAAGGGACCCCCCTTTGGGCTAGCTGCAAGAACTGTGTTAAACTGTCAGTGGTGACAATAAGGCAGGAGGAGGTGCATTTCCTTCTTAAATCGCTTGATCAAGAAAAGGCTGTGGGCCCAGACAAGTTGAGCCCAAGATTGCTGAGATGTGTAGACCAGCTAGCAGCACCTCTAACTCGCATCTTTCAGCACTGCCTAGTACAATGCAAATGACCCTCTCTATGGAAAGAGGCAAATGTAGTCCCTGTTCACAAAAAGAAGAGCAGAGAAGAAAATTAGCAACTACAGACCAGTGTCACTCCGTCAATCACTGGTAAGATCCTTGAGACAATAATCTCAAGACAAATGACAGAGTTTTTTGACTACCACTCACTACTCTGCAATCGTCAATATGGCTTCAGGAAAGGTTACTCTGCTGCTTATCTGTTGTTAAACCTCTCCACTAAGTGGCACCAGTCATGGATGAATACAAAGTCAGCTTTTGGTTGTAGCACTGGACTTTTGCTGGCGTTTTTCGACCGGGTGTGGCACCAGGGCCTCTTAGCAAAACTTCAAGCACTGGGAATTGCAGGCTCTACATATGTTCCTCAGTGATTACTTTCATGGTAGATCTCTAGTGTAGTTCTAATGGAACGGAATCGCAAGACATCCATTGGGCAAGTGTTCCACAAGGAAGCGTGCTGGGACCATTGTTATGGAATGTCTACTTCAACAACCTTCTTCATCTATCCCAGAATCACATGCATATGCAGACGACTGTACATGACATTCCCTTATCCAAGAGAAGAAATGCTAGCTGCTCTAAGCTACATCAATCACCAGCTGAGAGCTATATCAGCTTGGGGAAATAGATGGCAAGTAAACATTTGCACCTGAGAAAACGCAAATGATGATCGTCTCTAGGCACCATGATGGTAATGCTGGTGCAGTAGTAAGGATGAATGGGAGGGGTTGGCACCTGGAGAAGAAGTTGATATCCTTGGGGTGAAATTTGACTCCAAACTAACCATGAAGAACCATGTTGTAAATCTTTGCAAACAAGGCATCCAGAAGCTTACAGCATTCGCCGTATCTCGCATCTGCTTGACAAATAGGGGTTGCAAGATTCTGTACGAGGCACAAGTACGCTCACACCTTGAGTATGCTCCACTTTCTTGGTTTGCCTGCCACCCTCTCATCTGCAACTGCTTGACAGAGTGGAGAACAGAGCAAGACGTCTCATCTCTCACCTGGACCCATCCTGGATAGATCTGTCATTTTTAGCAGAGCCTTCAACATAGGAGGGATGTGGGTGGCCTTACTGTTAGGTATAAGGCCAATATTGTCAAAGTACCACACTTGGATCCACTTCGAGGACAGCGTGAAACAAGCTTTTATGCCACAAGATGGGCAGAAAGCAGCAACTTCACTCTGGCTGTACCCTTCTCCAGAACATCACTCCATCTGAGATCATATATACCCAGGATGACTCGAGTATGGAACACATTTGTACAGCATAATGATGTCAACGAGATAACGTCAGTTGATCAAATGAAAATGCTGGCCCACAGATGGCTCTAGCTTCATCCTGTTCCCTACTTGTATGTCTCATAACAATAAAAATGCCTTCAAATGAGCTGATGTAGGTAACAGCTCTTAGCTTGTCAATAAAGTTAGGAATCCTTAACCTGTAAGTAGCTTGTCAATAAAACTAGGGATCCTTAACCTTTTCAAACCCTGTGTAAAAAAAAAAAGAGGGAGAGAGAGAGAGGAAGAGAGGGAGAGAGGGAGGGAGAGAGAGAGAGGGGGAGAGAGAGAGAGAGAGGGAGAGAGAGAGAGAGAGAGGGAGAGAGAGAGAGGGAGAAAGAGAGAGAGGGAGAGAGAGAGAGAGAGAGAAAATAAGTACCTGAGAGAGGACAGGTATGGAGTTATGTAAATAGAAAAGGCGGACGTGATTTTTGTAAACAAATCAGGAGAGCACATCTGGTTTGTGTACAAGTTACATTGTGTACAAGTTGTCTCTATGTTGATATGGTAGAATAAATAGAGGAACACTCCCATTCTCATGTAAAACCATTTTTAAAAGAAATAACGCTATGAGTGAAGGCATACAAAAGGAATAATTTTCTAGTGTTACCCCCAGTAACACATTTTCTCTTATTTTGGACTAGAGAAAACGTTACTCTTGCCGTCAATTGTACAAGTCATCTGGCTTCCACATCTCAAATTTAGGAAAGCAGACATCGCCGGAAAGCATAACACCATTTTGTCCATTTATAAATGCATATAAATGCCAGGTAACAAGTTTACATAATGAAAATAAAGAGCACATTTTTCTAAGTGTTATAGGATAAAAAAAAATTAGAGTCAGTACTTACAGAGATATGAGACCAAGAAGTTGGCACCGGATGCTCACTTGACAGTAACATTGAGTCGTGCCGCTTGCGGAAGTGTTGTCGATATACCTTTTTTTCTATTCTTCATATTATTTTATATAATTTTCATGTTCTGATAATTACAATTTATAATAGTTCTTGTCATTTCATAACCAATCTTTGTTCTGACACTAATATTAGGTACTGAAATTGTACTCAAATTGTCACAAACACACTGACAGGTGGACATTTACACCTGCCTTGGTCATCTACTATTGTCTTAGAATGTATACAAAGTACATTTATTGACAGATCCCAGCAGTGTTTTGGAGGAGGAGGAGGAGGGAGGAGGAGGAGGAGGAGGAGGAGAGGAGGAGGAGGAGGAGGAGGAGGAGGAGGAGGAGGAGGAGGAGGAGGAGGAGGAGGAGGAGGAGAGGAGGAGGAGGAGAGGAGGAGGAGGAGGAGGAGGAGGAGGAGGAGGAGAGGAGGAGGAGGAGGAGGAGGAGGAGGAGGAGGAGAGGAGGAGGAGGAGGAGGAGGAGGAGGAGGAGGAGGAGGAGGAGGAGGGAGGAGGAGGAGGAGGGAGGAGGATGGAGGAGGAGGAGGAGGAGAGGAGGAGGGGAGGAGGAGGAGGAGGAGGAGGAGGAGGAGGAGGAGGAGGAGGAGGAGAGAGGAGGAGGAGGAGAGGAGGGAGGTGAGGAGGAGGAGGAGGAGGAGGAGGAGGAGGAGGAGGAGGAGGAGGGAGGAGGAGTGAGGAGGAGGAGGGATGGAGGAGGAGGAGGAGGAGGAGAGGAGGAGGAGGAGGAGGAGGAGGAGGAGGAGGAGGAGAGAGAGGAGGAGAGGAGGAGGAGAGGAGGAGGAGGAGGAGGGGAGGAGGAGGAGGAGGAGGAGGAGGAGGGGAGGAGGAGGAGGAGGAGGAGGAGGAGG